GGGCTGAGCGTGCGGCGGGGCTTGTCCGGCACCTGAACAGGCTGGATTCTAGACGCCGGGCGTTTTCCCCTGCTTCTGCAATCGGCTGAGACGTCTTTCTTTTAAAATAAGGAGTTATTATTATCCTAAGATAGCAATGCTGGTGGTGTAAGATGAGGACAGGCCAGGAAGGGAGGCGTGGACCGCACCGCCCTACCCGGGGAGGAGCGCGCTCCGCGTCCAGCCCCTGCCGGGCGTGCACGTTTATTCGGCCGTAGTTGTGCGCCGAGGGTGTGCTCACGGCAAAGGCGGGCCCTGAGCTTAGTCTTCCAGGAGCACCTACTGCGCGCCTGCTCCCAGCAAGGAGCTGCGTCGGAGGACGCACGGATGCGGACGGCATCGTGGATCCACCGAGGGCTGTCCCCTGGAGGGGAAGGAAGGTGTGCGCGGATCTGGGCGCTGCCGGGCCAGGGGATGCCCGGAGAGAGACCCTGAGCGCGTGGAGCTGCGGACCCATCTGCAGACCTTCAGCCTGGGGAGGAACAGCGCGCCTGGTCGCGGGAACGACCCCTGGGAACGCCAGGCTCTTTTGCTAAACTTAACAATCGAATACCTATCTTCAACTTTATTGTAAACCTCCAAGAAAATGAACACCATAGCTAGCAATAAATCAAAGCAGTAATAGGTTACGCCTTTCAAACCGCACAGCACCAATGCGGTGATCCCGTGATTCCAGTACAGCCTTCCCCCAGGTCTCCCCACTAACTACGGAGAGTCACTGAACGAGAGGAAACTTGCAGAGCCCCTTCCCTGAAGTGCCCCTTCCCTGAGGTGGATGCCGCTGCCGCACCTGGGGTGGCCCCATGCCAGGAAGCCGAGGCCCTCCCCCAGCCCACCCCCTCTGCAGTGTCCAGGGAGGCTGCCAGGTGACGTTTGGAAGCAGAGAGACCCCTGGCGTGAGCTTCCAGAGCACACCAGCCAGGGACAAACCGCTTTTTGTCTGAGGGTCTTAACTTCCACATCATCAACCTTTTGAGTTGGGGTTAAATCTGTCCAATTTTTGCAAAGAAGCGTCTGGAGCAGGTAGGGCCCTGGGCTCCTCTGCTTCTTCGATTCCTTGATTTGTAGATAAAAGGCGAGGCTCAGTGAGAAAAGACTTTGTTGACACTTGCCCTCAGGCAAAATCAGATTGAAGCTGTAAACAGATTCCAAGCTTATGGGGTTGTAGGTGGGATTTAGTTGATAGGTATTTATCAGTTCTAGCAGGCCAGAAATTGTGAAATACACTCTATGTCTGGTGTCTGGTCAAAACTCCCTCAACGTGGCATTCCTGTTGAGTGTCTTCTGCCACCATCCACCGTGGCCACCTTCTCCTGCCCCCTGGGATGAAGTGCATGGAAATACCATCAGTCGCTGCAGTCAGAGTAGGTGCTGCTGTCATGAGCACCTGGAAGCTGTCGGAGGCCCAACACCCTGATTTCAGCTCAGCCAAAGCCAGAATCCAGGAGTAAGCAATAGCAAGTGTGCACCCGGGGGTAGGCGGGAAAGGAGGCCTCGTGGACATCCTCCAACATTAGTAGAAACCATGAGTCAGCCATGCTGTCTTCAAGAGTTAATACCTTTTTTCTTTTTTAAGGGTCATTTTTTAACCATTTTTAAAAAATTGAAGTATAGTCAGTTTACAATGTTGTGTCAATTTCTGGTGCACAGCATCATGTTTCAGTCACCCATCTACATACATATATTCCTTTTCATATTCTTTTCCATTATAGGTTACTACAAGATATTGAATATAGTTCCCTGTGCTAGACAATAGGAACCTATTGTTTATCTGTTTTATATACAGTAGTTTGTATCTGCAAATCTCGAACTCCCAATTTATCTCTTACCCCTGTTTTCCCACCCCCAGCAACAGAAAGTTTGTTTTCTATGTCTGTGAGTCTGTTTCTGTTTTGTAAAAAAGTTCATTTGTGTCTTTTTTTTTTAAGATTCCACGTATGAGTGATCTGGTATTTTTCATTCTCTATCTGACTTACTTCACCTAAAATGATGATCTCCAGGTCCATCCATGTTGCTGCAAATGGCATTATTTTATTCTTTTTAAGGGTTAATATCTCTGCTGCCTGTTTGTCAGTGGTCTCAGTCTTTGTCTGCTCCTCTGGGCTCTGTTCTATCTGCTGGGCTGGGGGCGGTGGGGATGGAGGTCCACACTGCATCTTCCAGATCGCCCAGCTCCCTGGCAGGACCTGCAGGGTCAGCCTTGGTGGAAGATGAGCGGGAAGAAGAGGGACCTTCTGCTTTGGGCTCTCCCACTGTGGCTGTAGCTAGTAGTTGCTGGAAGTTGTGAGCACTGCCAATTTGGTATCGAGGGTAGGGGATTCTGGGCCCCAGCAGCCCAGAGTGGGGAGATATCTTTTCAGGGATCCACCCCGCCTAGAATCAAGCTTCTCTTCTGAGCTGACCTGGAGCTGACCGCCATGGGTATCCCAGCTTCTGGTTGCTGGGCATTGCCCATCCTTTCCTGCCCTCCAGGATCCCTCTGCTTTATGTTCTTCTTAACCCTCCCAGCCCTGGACCCAGACTCCTATATTAAATGCCATCTTTTTGAAATCCTTCAGGTAGTTTTCCTGACTAGACCTTGGCGGACACATCTTCCGGGTGGGTCTCAGGTCCACTTCTGAGCTGCCTATGGTGAAGCGGGTCCTCCCTGCGCCATGGTGGGTCCCTGCTGTGTCCCACCGCCCCTGGCCGTCACGCCTGCACTGGAGTCCTGTCCTAGGGGGTCTGACTGCCCTGGGTGTCAGCGGAAGGATGGCCTGGAGGTGGCCTCACTGCCCAGCTGC